TTTCTACTTTTGTTCCTCTTGCAGCAAAAAGAACTCAGACAAGATTGGTGACATCGTGGCCCTTTGCTCTGAGACACCTCCTATATGACAGGAGAGTGATGCAACACTCAAACACTTCAAGTCATGCCTGTGTTATGGGGTTTTTTTTAAAATGAATATTGTACTACAGCTTTATTGAAAAAGAGTGAGAAGGGCATGAATATTTTCAACTTTAATAAACTCAGTGAACAAGAATGAAGTTTCTCTGAATGTTCTTTTTCAGTTCTTGTAGACAAATCAGGACTTGTTCTGGGTCTCTTTCTGTTATCAATATTACCAAAGATGTCTCAAAATGAAACAAAAAAAAAATTCTGCATAAGAATGCGATATCAAAGAGTAAGATGATGATGGTGAGGATGATGATGATTGAACAATTAGGACCATATTCTGTGTCCATGCCTGTGTGTGGAGAACTGTGTGTCAGCAACTGGAGTGGTGCCAGTTGCGTGATGTGGCATCACTTTCCTTTTCTCATCAGCTGCAATCACATGCTTTGAGTGACTAGTTTCCTTTACATCCTTCAAGTACTGCTGTTGGGGTGGAAGGACCTGACCCTGTGTGTGTGTGTGTGTGTGTGTGTGTGTGTGTGTGTATAGCCCTTCCCATTTTCCAGACTTCACTCTTTTGTAGGACAACCAGGAAAGACCTGCTCCTGCTGGGATGGGAAGTTCACGCTGCCATTTTAACATCAAAAGAAAGATTATAACTAGTGTCCGTATTCAGGGCTGCCGAAAAGCCTGCACTTGTCCTCATCTAGGGCTGCATGTGTAGTGGCTGAGTAACAATTTTACTATGAAATCGACCCAATTTGAAGTTAGTTGCTTCTGGGAGGAAATGGTCTTGGTCAGTCCTGAATGGCAGATGTGACAGTGTAATATATATAAATAAATATAAATAAATATATAATCGAATATAAAATTAAAAAAAAAATGCATATTTTCTAGTCAATGATGATGTGAAAAGGTCTCCCCTTGTCTACCTGCCCCTGCCAGACTTGGGCTTTGGTGTCTTTGAGTGCTCTGCAGGCCACCGTGCTAGGGGCTCTGCTCTCCGAGGCAAGCTTGCTGCGAGACAGGGCTGCCAGACTCCCCTCTGCCCCTTTCTGGGCCTTCCCAGGGCAGCCCCTGGGTGTGGGGATGCTCTTTGGGGTGTGCAGTGGCTGCTCCTGCAGAGGCCCGGGAGGTTGCACTGGTGTGACTGCACCATCTAGTGCTGTCCCTGCGCGCCCACCGCTGACTGCGCAGCCATGAACGGGAAATAACGAGCGGCTTCAGCGGGCTCTGAGGGGAGAGCGCGGGTTCCATTCTAGATAGCTGCTGTATTCAGGGCCAGCCTGAATCAAGTCAGGAAATGATAAGGCAACAGCAGAAGTAGGGCCCGGACCCACAGCGGCTGCTCGCTCAGCTCCTGCTCAGTGCTGCCCTAAGGCACAGCCCCGCCAAGGCCTGGCCTGTGCTGGGAGAAGGGCCTGACAGGGAGGGCGGCGCCTGCGCCGGTACCGAGGCCAGAAAGAGATCAGGTCTGCTGTGTCTGAAGCCTTGAAAAAGTAACTGTTCAGTAGCTTTCTGATAAGCCTGAAAGTCTTCAGAGCAAACTGCAACAAGACACAGGGAAGAAAGTGTAGTTAGATGAGGTTTCCAAGCTGGTAGGCAGAACTACATGTTTACCCCAAAAGCCTTTGGCAGCAGGTCCAGCAGAAGCTGGGCTACTGAGGCTCTCGTGGTTCCTGGAGTGATAGAGGGGACACCTGCAGCGTGATGGAAAGGAAAGATAAGCACCCTCTCTTGCTCCTAAGCATGCAGGTTGGTAATTTTCTGAGTTAATGACTGTGTGAATTGTTCAAGCAGTACATTCGAGAATTGAAAGATCAGACTAGTGTGTCAAAAGTTTGGTTTGATTTTTACCTAATAAGGTCATGAAATAAAGCTTGACTGACAGAGTACATTGCCCTATGAATTTAAGAGACCCAAATGAACCACAGCAATCCATAAAATAATTCACTGCTGAAGCTAGAATTACACCATACAGTAGTAACAAACTAGAAAATGCTTTAACCATGTGGTTGAGAGATTAAGGGTCAGTGTAGAAGGCAACACAGATTTATCAGGAAGTTCCCTTAGAAAGTGTGGGAGCTGCTTCAAAATGGGACCTGACACAGTCAACAGATTGGAGACAGTCTCTGGATCTGTGCTGATGCGCGCTGGAATGGTGGGTACCTCCTCCAGACTCCACAGAGCGGTACAGTAAGTGAACTTTTGTGTTAATGTGCATTTTGTGGCTCTGCTTCTCTCTTCTCTGAGTAGATTGCCTAAGCTTCCAGGAAAGCTTCAGTTTTGGCCCAGGCAATCAGCATGGACTGAATTTGAGGAAGTCCTGCTGGCAGCTCCTTTGGCACGAGGGCTAAAACACAGGCACTGCAAGGAGTGACAACAGTCACTGACAGCTGCTCCAAGCTCTGCATCTTGGCATGTGTGACCTGTTCAAACACACAGACACCATGGCAGCAAGGCTGTACTGCAGAGGAAGTGTGTTTTGTGGTTTTGGTTAAATTTCATCAATATCTGTCCTTTTTAATGGCAGGCTTAATAGAAGCCCGTATTTAAGGATAGTCAGTTTCCCTTACTTCATAGCTATGAAGTATCTTGCCACATGAAAACATTTGTAGACTTTTAGGAAGCACTAAATAAGAAAGTCAATGCCAGAATTCCAAAATTAACTCTTCCCTTATTTGTGTTTAAAGAGTAAAAGGTGTGGAAATACAATCAAGGGAAATTACTTTAACTTGGTTAACAATGAATCAATTTGATCTTCAACTGCTTGGGCTGAAGACATCTATAGAACTATATTACTCTCCATAAAGGTAAAGTACCCAAACAAGGTAATCCTGCTGTTGAGCAGGTTGGAAAAAAATACTGTAAGGGATTGTGATGCCACTGGGCACCGTGGCACCTGCCCTTGTCTAACCAGGTTTCCTTTTATTAATGTAAAAAATTTTGCAATGTCAAAGAAGTTATTTAAAGCAAAGATATCTATTTTTTTTCCTCTTGCAACTGACCACATTTTGTGACTGAGGCTGTTATTTTATGGAATTTGGAGCTCCAGAGCCAGCCAGCAGATTTTCTAAACATCAAGACAGCAACTGAAGGCCCTGCAGTGTAAACGGGAGCACAATTCTAAGTGCTTCTGAAGTCAAGTGCTTCTGAAGCCAGCTACTTCTGAAGTCAAGGCAGAGGTGTCTTGTCAAGTGACATGCCTAGGAAATTACCTTGAAGGTACTCCTTTGGAAAAAAATGGGACTGAAGTTCAAGCCTACAGCCTTGAATGATGGCAGATTTTCACCAGATTTCCTAGCAATTCCTTCCAAGCTGTCTGGTTTCATTTGGTAGAAAATTCACAACTTGAGCAGGTGAGCAGACTGAATGAGTAATGAGCAAGTCAGTCACAAATTTCCGAGTCAAATGCTGAAAAATAAACCCTCTAAGAAGTTATCTCTGACTGTAACAATAATTCAGAGCATTTTAACAAAGCAGCTTCAACAAAACTGTAATTGTGCTGTAATTACACAGACTCTTGATGCAAATGTTAATAACCAGAATATACTGTTCCTGATTCGTTGTAGAGGAACAAAAGTGCTTGAGCAGTTGAAAGGTAATAACTTAAACATCACTATAGAGCAACAGAAAATAAAGGGTATTTAAAATAAACCATTATCATAGCTGAACACATATTAGAACAGTCTCTTTATTGTAATTTTCTTTTTACCTGACAGTGTTATTTCTTAAGAATAAATATTAACAGGTTGAAAGTATCTCTGCTGGGCCTGCAAATTCATGTTCCCTGCAGCACTACTGTCATAACCAACTATTTCCCTGGCTGCTTGTTCCCTGCCCTACCCTGCTCCTCCTTTCTGGGCAGTACGACGGCTGCAAGGCCACACTGCCCACCAGATGAGGGACCTGCCCAAGCAGGAGTCACCATTCCAACCTTCTACATCCTGGATGTTGCCAGCAGCCACACTGGCTTCAGTAAACCTCTTCCCTATTCATCTCTGCCCTTGCACAATCCACTAGTTGCTCAAAACCTTCAGCAGAGCTAAAATAGGGAAGATATTTGACAGAAAAATAGCATTTTTTAGGACTAGTTGTTTTTCACTTGAACCCATTCAAATGCAATGATCTCCAAACAGTGGACAAGGATTGGTGAGAGCAGGAATAAGGTAAGTGGCTGATGAATGTCTCACAAAAAATGGTGTAGCCACATGTACCCCCAATAGAACCAGCCACCTGGGGAGCTGAGCTAAACTGTTGTACTGTGCCATGGAGCAGAGCTGGAGCTCTAGGGAAAATAAAAAAAAAGAGGAGAAAAAGAAAAAGAGCATCTGATTAAGCAGTGACTAACAGCTGAGGTGGCAGCATCTTGAGCAGCTGCAGCCATTTTGGAAATGGTGACTAGCCCCTAAACTGCAGACACCTCAAAAGCCAACCTTACACTGAATTAGGAAAGATTTATTCTTCTGTTTTTCTACTCTGAGAGCATTTCAGACTAAGTAAGATGCAATAAAAAGTGTTTTTAAAGAACTTATATGGGTAGATGAAGACTGTAAAAAAATTTTAAAATGGGCAACCCTAAAATAACTCTGTAAGATGTTATTTTTTAACTTCAAAATACTTCCATACTTTGAAGTAAAATCAATTGATTTTAAATCTATTACTCTAATACAAGGGAGATAATCAATACCACCTCCTGTATCATAGTTGTCATATTATAATAAATTGGAAAAAAATCTAGTATGTAGTGACTTTTTGTGCTAAATCCACTGTTTTAAGTTTTAGCAAGCTATTTGTTCAACTGTAGGATGATAAACAGAATACTTCACTTGGCTTTTAAACCAATTCAGCAAGAGCTCATCCAGGAAGATCGAAAACCAACAACCTTTCACCTTCAACTCAATAAATCATATCCCATTTAATTCAGTTTTTATTCAATGAAATAATGTATAAAAACTTACAAATCTGAGAACTTAACTATACACAAAAAGATGATATTCAGTTTAAACATATACACAGAGAAGAGCTGTGGTTTGTGACTTGCCCTCTCCCACCCCTCCCCCCAAAACACACACTGTCTCCATTTATGATGGGGCACTTTTTCTGTCCACTTACACCTTCTGTTGGCCCAGTAATTGCTCGGTGGGCTTCACTGCTGCCATCAGTGTAGGTTTTTAGGCTACCAGCAAAAAATCTGGGCATCTATATAAAATAATAAAAAATCAACAACTTGATTTTTAACACAAAGATGCAGTGCGACCATCAGCAGTAACTAAAACTACAGAATTCATCCTCTCACTTTTTGCAGACTTCGTCTTGGCTTTCAAAATAACAGGGCTCTCACAGAGCAGAATTTGCCAGCCAGCACTACAGATTCACTTTAAAACAACCATGATCACCTGTTGCTAGAACACCGTCTTTTCTCCCTCTTAAATCATGCCATTAGACCAAATGAAATCATGGACATTCCTTGCCAGAGTAAGGGAATAAAGCTTTTCTCTCTCCTTTCATCCAGAATGACTCAAACCTATAGCTAACAACACATGCGCGTGCTGCACTAATGATGGTGCAGTGCTCACCAGTATGTCACTTCTCTAGTTTCCTTGGTAGCTCGGGTGACAACACTTACCTATTAGCTTCTCTTCAACAGGTCAATAAAAATGCACACAGCCCAGGACATTTTAAATTTGACTAAAACTAACCTGTGCAATGACTAGTTTTGCCAAATGACTAAAAGACATTCCAGGCTGAATCTGAGCGTAGGTGGCCAGTAACTTAAAAAGGATGTGTGCATTTATTTACCTGTACCAAATATACACACAAACACTTTATATATATATATATATGTATATATATCTCTATACATATACAGTATTTATATATATAAAGATTGCCATCACGTTACTGTTATAGCTACTTAAGTCAAAATTTGACTAAGTAGATGCTTTGCTCGACTCCAAAACAGATACCCAAAGGCATACTTCAGGGAAAATATATGGCTAAAAGAAACCCAACACCTTCAGCTCTTTTTAACTCAATGAACAGAGATTTTTGCACTCCTTGAGAAAAGTTCTGAGGGCTTTAGGGACTTGTAAAAAGCACGGTGTTTATTTTGCCAGATCTCAAAATGCCTTCTACCAGGGAAACTAAAATACATATATCCTTCGCTTACCAAACTGATAACTCTGTTTCTCGTTACACTCATCACTGTATCTAAATACACTTTTAAGCAATCTAAATTTGATTTAAAATCTATTAAATTTGGATTAACTAATACTATCAACATAGTTAGATGGATTATTTTTCACATGTTCCTTTGTATTAAAATCAATTTTGTTGTGGTTTGATGCAAGAGCTTTTTGTTTGTTTTGGTGGGAGAGGCAAAGTCCAATTTCCTACTGTGCCAGTACAGTTCTGGTTGCTGAAGACAAAGGGTGGGAAGGATGTTGGTGGAAAAGATGGAAGGGGTAAGTGAGGTAAGAGGTAAGGGAAGGAAAAAATTGATTTAATAAAAAATGAGTAAAGAAACTTTAAAAAATTGATATAGGTTTCACATTCAGTCTAACAACACTGCTTCTTGCTCCTTTTTGATGGAGGCTAACACTGCGTTATCAGTCTCTGTGGCTTCTGTGTCCCCACCACCTAGCAGAATGGAGCGATCTTCTTCTAGTGTAAAGACAGAGTTTTGATTTTGGCACGAATGCTTGACTACTTCATTGGGAGTTGAAAACGTTTTGTCACACAAGTTACATTTGTAGGGCTTGTTGGTCTGTACTAACATGTTGTCCATTTGACTGCCTTCCTCAAAAGTACAGAGTTCCAGAGTCTGTTTATCCACCATCGTGTACGTGTCCATGCTCTGGTTTAGGCACACGTGTCTGGCAGCCTGGTTAGCCCTACAAAAGCTTTTGTCACAAGTGCTACACTTGAAGGGCTTGCCTGTGTGTATGTACATGTGCTCCCTCCAGTGGCTTTTCTGAATAAATTTGCGACCGCAGATGGAACATTCGTATTTCCGTCTCTTTACCTCCCTCTCTTGATCTGCCTGCTCCAAGTTGTCAATGTCTGCGATATCAGAGGGGGGAGGTGTCTCTGACTGCTGCTGCCCATCAATTATTGGGGAGTCTGAGATCTGCTGCAACTCACTGTCGCTAATCATCCCTGCTTCAGGCACTTCCATGGCATCTTTATCACCTGTGTTGTTACAGAGAGACAAAGAAATATTACTTTCTCCCTGCTGGCTAGACGTGAAGGGAACTCCCGTGTGGATTTGCAGGTGCTCACGCAAACTGCTTCGTAAATTGAACCGGCGACCGCAGAGGTGACAGGCATAGTATTTTGGGAAGCTTCCGTTCCTTTTCATAATGCTTGGCTTGACATGTGCTATTGTGAGTGAGGCAGGCTGTTCATCGGAAGAAGATGCTTCCATGTTGGCCTCTTCTCCTGCAGGTGAATTATTACCAGCAGCAGATACCAATTCTGGAGATAAAGAAGATGGCAATGGGTCAGAAGTGGACATATTTGTTCGGGTCACTTGTGGCAGAGTTGTAGCCAACTGTGAGAGCTGTGAGCCTTCAGAAACCTGCTCTTGGTTCATCCGCGATGTCTGTGGCCTTGGTTCTCGCCCGAGTTTGTCAGTTGCTGATGTAACCTTAGTGGGATGTCTTATCTGGTGATCTGCAATCTGAATGCCATATAATGAAGATGCTAATGGAAAAACTTGATCCGGGTGAGAAAAAGTTCCCTGACTTGCAAGGCTGGCCTCTTGAATTAGCGGATATGCATGTAGAAACTTTATTCCTTGTTCTAGTCGAACTGGGTCAATGAGTTGTGGTGCCATCTTCCCAGTGTACATCAAATGCAAGAGATAACTGAAGATATCTGGCTGTATGTCAGTCGCTTTCAAACGGACGCATTCACTGAAAGATGAAAAAAGTAAATATTAGAGAAATGCTTTAACACAAAAGAGCTAATCTTATTGGCCACTTGGAAGGTGACTTCTTTCCTCAGTGAAATAACTGGCTTGAAAGACAAAGCTGTCCCATTGCGATCTGTACCCTTCTAATTTGCTATTATGTTACAGATGTGTGTTGCCACATATTAATATATTTTATAAATTGCAAAGACATTTTTCCCCTTTTCTTGGTTGGATTCAAACACATCTGTAGCTAGATGAAAACCTGCTAGCACTGGACTGTAAATTCACAGTTCATTAAACTTTTCTCAGTACTTAGGACTCAGTACTTTTCTCCCTGATAACATCTAAAATTCATCTGGCACTTGCCTGTTTGCCCTCTATGTCCTACTAGGGTATATAGCTACAGTTCTGCAAATGTGTTGTATCACCTTATTTCAACTGCATTATGATCCAGAAACCATGCAAGGCAGGGTGTGAATACCCTGTGGATCTGATGCAACAGGTACAGCCTGAGCACATGTAACCCACGGAGTCCAGGTTCTTTGCCCAGCAGAATTGCAGCTTCTTTCCTTGAACAGGTAGAAAGAAACAGGAGCACTAGTGGTATGCCTGGTCAGCCTAACAGTCCCTTGGTTACAGAGCTCAGTAAAGGGAAATGCCTTGGCTGTGATGCCTCTTCAGCCTAACAGAACTGAAACCAACACCGTTCTCCAGCCGAGAGTGTGCCCAGTGCATCAACCGTTATGATGCTCTGGACTGAAACACCCACCATGCCTCTGGTGGGAGCTGGATCTCTATCCAGAAAGTGAGGCACGGTTCACAGAAGAAAGAAAATAGGGAACACCTTGGTTAGGTCAGTTAGCTAACAGGAGAGGAACTGGAATTCTAATTATTTTTCAGAAGAATCTGTAGCTCTTGTATTAAAAAGAAGCATTACATAAAACACAGAAATCCAGAAATAGACACGACTGCATGCTGTGCTCTGAATGCTCTAACCACAGTGTGCTACCAAGCCGAGGAGGAAATTGCAGCCAATTCTTCCATTTCTTGAGGTGCATCCTTCTCAAGCCTTCTCTGTGACTGCTTTTGAATTCAGATGTATTACTCAAAAGTAAACTTTGCAATGTCGTCTCCCAAAAATAACTGTGTGCTCTTGATGGAGCATCAAGACTGATACATCTACCTGCAGTACTGTTTCAGAAGTGCAAATGCACTTCTGTCCTAGGAGTTTTGATAGATAGAATATATGGGAAAAAGAAAGAAAAATCCTTAAAACAGTCTTACACTTTGGTTATCTTTTCAACGTCCTCAATGTAAGGCTCTGGTACAAAAAAAACCCCACCTAAACCAACACCAAAACACAGAAAGAAAAGTAACACAAATCCTCTTATTTTCCACCACTATGTAGTATCTTATTATATAATTGACTTTGATAAACTGCAAAAAAAAATAAAGTATATACACCTCTTTTTTAAGTTTATTTTTCAAAATCTCCTAGTAAATACTAAATAATGTTATGGAAGTGTCAAGACAGAGCAGAAGGGGGAAGGAAAGTGCAGGAGTGAAATAGGATCCTTGAAGTATTCAATTCTAGAAATTCTATGATTTTTTAAGGATAGAGAACTTGAGCCAAATTATAAAATTAGTGTTAATGAATCACGGTTCAACTTTAACATGTTTTAAAGTGAGGTTCTAGTTTGCAGATAAGACTGGATTCCATACTCCTTATGACATAGCAAGAAACAAAAGGAATGTTTTTAGGTTTCAAAATGTTGAAAGACTTCCTTAGCTCAGCTAACTGAATGACATTTAAACAGTGCACCTTTTTACAGTTACCTGGTTTGATGAACAAACAACATCTTGAAGTAGTTGGAGAAAGAAGCGAGGACTGATTTGTGTGCCTTGAAGTAGACATCACCAATGGCAACTGTGCAGTCACACAGGAAACCAAACTCTCTCTGAGCATTTAGTTGCTGCAGCAGAATAAGTCCATGGTTGGCCAAATCCATTTTTTTACACTCTGAAAAGAAAACGACTGTCATGTAAAACTTAACAGTAGATGCACAGATGCAACAGTAGCTATCTCTTCACAGATATTTTCCTCTAATATCTGTATGCCTTGCTTTAGTAACACCTCTTAATCCCAGTTACTGTATAAAAGGTATCTTACACATAGGCAAGGATCTCTATTTCATGACGGGCAATGCAATTCACAAAAGTGCAAGTGATCTGACAGGGTTAAAGAGCAAAGAAGAGCCAGGACAAAAGAACTCTGAAAAGGCACGGGGTTGGGCTTGGATACAGAAATAGAAATAGCTAAGGGAGAGGAAGATATATTAATAAGCAGTAAAACCACTATATGCAATGGAAAAAAGAAAGTATTTTAGTTGCCACTCGTCTGCTCAAGTAGGAAAAATAAATTTCCTTACTGATGTCAGTCACCCTTATCTCAGTGGGTGGGAGAGACAAGAGCACAACCCAACAAAAGACAAGTTAGATACTTTTAACTGATGGTTATGCCCTCTTCTGGGAAATACCAGATAAATACCTGAATCTTGCCAGAGTCAAATAATTCATTCTAAGTATCGGCAAGCTCTCTGGACTATCAATACAGGAGGGGCCAGCCTTTTCACCCAACAAGTCTTTATTTATTTATTGAGACCAGCTATAACAGCATTTTGTAAGCAGCCTGTGTGCCTCATGCCTGCCTAGCAAATCAAGAAACTCAGAGGGGGAGAGGTGCAGTTCCATCCATCACTGGCCATCAACATATGGTAGGATAACTAACAGTGAAATGTGGCACTGACCTGAGCCCTCCTAAACCAGGGTTTCCACAGCCCTCACCCTCCCTGGCACTTCCTTGTACCAGCTGCTGGAGGCTGCCCAAAAAGAACTACCTAAAAGCTACAAAGTTTTTCTCAAGGACTCAAGTGCAGCCTTGGAAGCAGAAATCAGTAACTCTAGGGAAAAAAATAGCCAGGAAAACACATTGGGACAGTTGCCTAGAGTTGGATGGATGAATATAGGCCTAGTAAGATCAACATGTGGATAAAACTTAACCAAAATAAATAGAGCTTTGAGCAGAAAAAGTGAAAGTTTGAAGTCATATAGATCTGTACTTAAATATGTAAAACAACCATGCTATGCCCAGCACAATGAAGAAGCAGAACAGAACAGAAAACAAAGAGAGGGTGAAACTAGAAGTAGACCAAAAGGTTTATAAAAAGTCTTGGGCTTTTTCCCCTACAAACTTAACAGGAAGCGATTGAAATTTTAAATGAAGTAAAAGCAGCTTTCTTTTATACAATAACAGCATGGTTTTTTGGGAAAGAGAACAACAGTTTATTCCACATGTGCCCGTATATTTGGTCATTGGAGAAACAAGTATTTCTACTTGCTGGACAGTGAAGAATGCCCTCATATTTAAACCAGTAACCAGGCTGACCAAATGCATTCCTTTGCATTCACATGAGATCAGAACTCATTTGCGGCAGGGGTATAAGCAGAAAAAGATATACAATATACAATACAGTTGATTATGTTCTTACAGCTAAGAGAAAAAAAGAGTGCACCTCTCTTTAGGCCCATATTCTTTTCCCTAAACTATTTGGATAATTACATTTTTGTTGTACAAACCAAAGATCATCTCCCTCTCTCCACAAGAGGGAATACTCGCTGTCAGTAGTAGCAAAAAATCCTTTGGTGTTACTTAATCCTGTGAGATGCCCCACACATGCAGACTTTGTGATGTTACAGAAAACACACTAGATTTTTTTTTATTAGCTTTAATTTAGATTATTAATGTGTGCTGCATTTCTAATTCACCAGTGCTAAGTCTGGTTTGTACTCGGACAGCAAACTTGTCAGACAGAGCAAACCATCGACATGAGGGCCTCCAAGCCAGAAAGGCATTCTTTCTAGTTATTATCATCCTAAGTTTGTTTAGCTTGTCGTTTCACCCTTACCCAAACAGTAGTCACTGTGGCAGCTGAAGCTGATGACCTTCATCATAGGCCTGAATTATTCTTTTCACAAAATGACACACATGCCCAACACTGCATTTTGAGTGTATCTGAATGATATTTAAGTGCCATAACTGAAAGCACTAGAAGAATTACACTCTTAAGAAAATCGTAAGGCAGATGAAAGTAGCGAGGACAGCACCTTCTACGTTATAGGTATATATAAGTATATATATATATATATGTATATTATATATATATATGTATAATATATATATGTGTGTGAACTCAGGAGTTTTACCCTTAGCTAAATAAACCAATGATTAGCACCGGCAAGGCCGTATTTTAGTGCTGACCAGTACAACAACTGCGTTAAACATTTCCTGTACCCTGGAACCTCACTGGGACAGTCCTTCCCTGGCGCGGCTCCGTTCTGCCACGGTTTTGGAATTACCTAACCCGTTCAGCGTGGGAAGCCACGCCGGGGCGAAACCTTTTGGGAAGCGTGTGTTCATCTTGGAGACCCCGCGAGGAAAAGGGGTGGGAACAAGGCCAGAATGAGGTCGGAATAGCGCCGGTACCACACAGTGGGAGAAGAGGAACAGGCCTGGAGCGGCGAGGAAGGAGCAGCGCAGGGCGAGGAAGCGCCCGGGGCGGGGACGGCGGGGCGGGCCGTCAGAGAACAGCTCGGGCAGGGCCCGGCGCAGGCGGGCACCGACCCTCGGGAGCTCCGAGCCCGCGGCGCTGCTCCCGCTCCGTCGGCAGAGGGCACCACCCGGCCCAGGCCGCTCACAGCAGCGCAGCACCGCCCGGAGCGGGCGCCTCCGCCCTCACCGCGGGCGGCGGGCAGGGACTCGCGATGGGCCCCGGCCCGGCCCGGCCCCGCCCCGCCCGCCGCCACGGGACGGGACCGGACGGGACCGGGCTGCGCGCGGCGGCGGCGGCGGCGGGGCGCGAGGCAAGGAGAGGGCGCGCGCCGGGACACGCCCCCGGCCCCGGGCGCGGCGGGAGCGCCCCAGCGGCGCGCGCCCCCTCCATCGCCGGGAGCCGCGCGCGGCAGCCCCGCACGGCGCCCTCCCATTGGCCGCCGCAAAGGGGGGCCGGGCGGGCGCGCGCCGCTCTCACTGGCTGTGCCCCGCCCTCGCCCCGCCCCCTCCTCCTCCCCCGCCTGCCCCCGCGCACGCCACGCGCGCACGGACGGGACGGACGGCGCGCGAGACGCAGCGCGAGCGGAGCCGCCAGGGCGCGCGAGACGGAAGAGCCGCCGCTGTCGCCGCCGCCGCCGGCTCGGCCCATCCATCCCAACCCGCCGGGCGCGGGGACAGGCAGGCAGCCCCGCCCTCCCTGCGCCGGATCCCGCCGCCGCCGCCGGAGGGGGCGGAGGAGCGCGGGCCTCAACCGGCCGAGCCGAGCCCCGCGCCGGGCGGCACCGGCCCCCGCCCCCTGCCTCCTTCCCCGCGACCCACCGACCGCCCCCCTCACCCCCCAAGCCCGGCCCTCTCCTGGGCCCGCGCCCATCCCCCTGCCCGCGCCGTGTCCCGGATGGAGCCGCCCGGCCCGGTCCGGTCCGGCCCGGCCAGCGGGGTTCGCCCGGCCAGCCTCACCTCCAGCCCCGCGCCCCTCGGCCCGCGCGGACCCGGCGGGGCCCCGGGCGGCCCTCGCACACAATGCGGAGGTAGGGCCGCGCAGGCCCCGCCGCGCCCCCGCCGTCGCCTCAGCCCGGGCCGCGGCCGGCGCGGCGGGGCCGGGCGCACGTGCGGGCGGCGGGGCCGGGCAGCCCGCGGGGCGGGCGCGGCGCGGCCGGTGCTCGCTCACCTGGGGGGCGCCGGGGCCGCCGGGTGGCGCCGCGCGGGGGCCGCCGCCGTCTCCGCGCCCGGCAGCAGCAACAACGGAGTCAGCGCGGCGGCGGCGGCGGCGGCGGCTTTTCCTGTCCGGTTACGTTCGGGTCACATGACCGGGAGCGGAGCACAGAGGCTGCGGCGAGGAGCCCCCGCCGTGGGGGAGGGGAGGCGGCGAGCGCTGTGGCGGCAGCGGCAGCAGCAGCGGGAGACACCCAGCCCCCGCCCCTCCCTCCGCGCCCGCCCCACCGCCGGCACCGGGCACGGGACCGGCCCTCCTGCCCTCCGGGCACCCCCGGACCGACGCCCCCGTCCCCGTCCCAGCGGGAATCACTGTCCCTTTAAAACTCCCGGGCGGCGGGGGCCGGTGTGGCCTCCGCAGCCAGCGCTGCGGGGATAACGGGGACTGTGGCGCCGTGCGGGGCCGGGATTGGGATGGGATGAGATGGGGCGGTGCTGCGCCCGCCGCCGTCTTCCCGGCGCCCGCCCGGCCTTGCCGCGGCGGCAGAGGCTGCTCGGTGCCGCCGCCGGAGGGCACCGGGCGGCTCCCGTCGGGCGGTGCTTGGCGGCGGGGGTGGGATGGATGGATGGAAGCCGCCGGGTGCTGCCCCCACGCTCGCTCCCGGGGAGGAGTGGCGGGCGCAGGTGCGTTCCTGCGCTTCCCGCGGAGCTGCCGGGGATGTGGGAGACGGGGACCGGCCGGCGGCGGTGGGACGCGGCGTCCCGGGGCTCTCGGGCGTGGGCTCAGTGCCGGTGCCCTCCTCCGCGTCACCCTGGCTGCGCTCCAGGTGTCATTTATAGCAAGGTCTCGGTTCGGTGCGCTGGGAAGGGGCGGCGTGGGGCCGGTGGCTGTGAAACTGCCCTGGGCACGGCGTGGCTGAGCTGTCAGACGGGAGGTTACAAGTTCAGTTGTCAAAGAGTGATTCAGAGTACAAAAGTGGAAAGGTTGGGTTCGCTTCTGGTCTGTTCAGCAGGACGCAGGTTATGTGAACTGGCTATTCTTAACATGACTTTTTAAAGTGGATAGTATAGTTGTCTTCCAAAAAAACCACATCTGCAACTTCCCACAGTGGCAGATTTGGTTGTGGTGGAGTGGAGACAGAAGGTGGCTGTAGCCAGGCATCTTTTTATCCAGATCTAAGGTGTGCTGTAGAATAATCCATGGATGCTTATAGAACTCCACAAAGGAGTAGACACTGCGATACATGGAAAAAATTGTCGGTCTTGCAGAAGTTATTTAAGAGCATTTAGCGTGGAGCAGGGGTGCCGTCTACAAGAGACTGGAAGTCCTTGGGTGTTATTCCTCCAAGCAGGGAATCAGTCTGGGCTGTAAGGTGACATCTGCTAAGCGGAGCAGTGGCACAGGCAGAAAGGTTTTCAGAGAGAAACTTTGTTGTTGAAAACCTTGTTGGAAGATACTCGGCCAGCAGTAGTTAAAGGGGATTCCTTTACACCCCTTGCCCTGGAGGCCTGCTCATGCTGTCCTGAAGTGTGCTCTTTGTTGTTCATGGGGAACAGCGTATGCTACAATGCCAATGGTTTGAATTAGGTCCAGATAATGGTAATAATGATTATTACCTTTTTAAAGGTACTTATTTAAGCAAGCATTTATTGTTAAAGGATTGAACCAGTTTCTCCCACTGAAAGCCATCTCCCACTGAAATTAATGGCCATCTTGATAGGCACAGTTTGAGACTGTTTGGATCACATAGCTCATGAATATTAATTTATTTACCCAAGTTAAGCTGCACTTGAAAACTAACTAGTGAAGTCTTAAAAAAACCCTAGCAAACCAACCCCAAAGTCCAACAACTTTAATTTTAGTGAAGCTGAAAGCTGACAGTCTGTCTGCTGCTGTTGCAGTACTTTGAATAGAGCAGCTGAACAGAACTGCATCCATAGGACCCATGTCAAGTAGCTGAGATATGCTGAACTACAAGAGTCATGTTTTTAACAACTCTTCTATGTTCTGCTATGTGAGCATGTGGCAGAAGTTTATAGAGTGTATTTAGCCAGTCTACTTGGCAATTTTTTCCCCTGAATGGTTTCCCTTACATTTCAGTTCTGCAAACTAAATACATAGTAAAGAGAGTAGATGGGCATTTGAACTTAAGTTGCTCAGTGGTGGATCATTTGTCTCGTTCTCATGAAAGATGGTGAAAGTGGTAAAATTTTTAATTAAATTGAGTAGGCTGTTTAGGAAAACCAGTGTGTTTCTGACAGATATCTGGCAGGCTTTGTGGCCTCTTTTTTTCTCTTTTTATGTTGCACTTTAGTACTTGTGTATTGGCATTCGTGTGGGATTCTCCTCTGTGCTGTCTCTGAAACTGGAGAAAAACTTAAGTATGGTATTATTATTAATAGCTCATAATTCAACTTTAAAGCACTTTTATTTGGACTCCAGTAGTTTAATCCAGCAATAATGCAGTTTCTAATTTAGAAGGATCCTATTGGATTCAAGACCCATTGGAATTTGTAGAAAGACTGCTGTGTTGGGTGTAATGCTGCTGAACTTCGCACCTTCAGTACTGACTTACATCTGAGACCTGTGTCATGGGGAGTAATTAGTTGTTCATCTGGTGCATTTTGGACACCCAGTTTACAATGTCAATCTAAAATTCTACTTCCAACTCATCTGAGTTTTGCAGTTTTGAGTTTCTGGAGGTATTTGATTAGGATTTCTTTCCCACTTTATTACTTTTTAAAAGGACTGTTCAGACTGATTCAACTGTTCAGACTGATCCAGATAGCGGTACTCATCTGGGTCATTCTTAGTTAGGTGTGTTACTGTTGATGACAGGATCAGTCCCTAGGTTTTTGGTTTTGCTTCGGTCTTCATGCACTTGGATTAAAGGCAGAATTTTACCTGATGAGATCATATTTTGCATTGTAAATGAACATACTACAGATGATTTAAGTGTTAATAGGATGACCAAAATGTCTGCTAATCTAAGTCACTTAAACAGCACAAGAAACTTGATCCAGTCTTGAGTTCTTTGTGTCTTTTTGGTTGAGTTCAGTTGAAATCTGTAGTTGAATAGCAGATTTTATTGTTGTAGTCAAAACCTTAACAGCTTTAGTGATGTTAATCAGGCTCAAAGTGCCAAGATTTTTAGTGAGATTTCAAATTTCTCAGCATTTTTGAAAAATGAGAGAGCAGAGTCCCTGTTTCAAAGAGCTCTTTGCTCACCGCTCCCTGTGGCACTTCTGGCCCACTCCCACAGGACTTTCTGCCGAAGCTGTGGGGATCTGGGAGTTGCATATTCTAGGCAATGGGTGGGAACCCTTTCCTGAAGGTGTGGGACACTGCTCTCACGTGGGTACAAATATAGTAAAACATGAGTTTATGTCAGTGCTGTAAATCTGTTTTATTAGCACAGCTGCCATTTCTAACACTTCTAGTTTTGATTCATGCTAGTGAGAATGCTGGTGGGAAGCGTGACAGCTGCAGAAGCTCCTTGATAGAATACTGTCCCTCTGGTAGTCTCCAACCTTTTAATCCAGGACTCTGTCCTCCTTCTCTTAGAATTTTTCACCTGGGTGAATTGGTCCAATTCTCACCTGTCTTTCACACAGCACTGTAAAAATTTAAAAGTGATCCCTGGGAAAATCCCAGATGTAAGGATCCAGCAGAAGTTGTGGAACAGCTCTGCTTTTTCTTGGCTTCCTTGCC